CAAATAACCCTGAGTGACCTTTGACCCCACAGAAACCCATCCCTCAGTGGAAGCACTCCAGATGAGCGACTGTTTGTTCAAAGACTCGGAGCTCTATTGACCGAATGATGAACGRAACAACACAAACATGACCAAAAATAGAAACAGGACATTTTCCAGGAAGGCTCGGACCAACAACACGCTCACTTTTGACCCCAAACTGAACTGATAATGACGCTGTGTCGAAACCAGAAGTTCCCTTTTTCTGTTTTCACCTCAAGGGTGAATCAATTTCTGTGAAGAGCTCACCAAATGGAGAAGAAACTAATTGAAAGAAAATGAAMAGAGAACACAGAGGTCGAAAGAAGTCTGACTTTTTGAAATTAAAATGACAAATAAAAAATATTTATCAGGAAAAGAACAAATCTAGATGCTTCATGTTGCCGTTTTTCCTCCTCTGAAGATGTCCTGAGAAGATCTCAGAAGGAGGTTTCCAGGTTGTTCCGTTGCAGAACCAGACTTCTTAAACACAGAACCATTGATGGCTCCAACGACTGAAAAGAAACTTTCCAGAGCTTGACGCTGAATGAAACAGGAAGTGACGGAAGCGAAGATTAAAAGAACACAAACGTGATGTTGCTCCAGTGTTTTTGTTTTGCTTTTTTGTTCCAGCTCCAGCAGAACCTCCCACCAACAAACTGCTGACGTACTTTCATGTTTGTGTTCTTTCCATCAGCACCTGACAGGTGGAGTCGAACCAAAACAGATTTTACCTTTCAAGCAGAGACAAGCCGGCCTCCTCCGCCTCCTCTTTGTCAGTGTTTGTGTTGTGGTGCGGCGGGTGGGCGGGGCCTTAAACCTCAAGCCAATTATATCATTAAYCGACTTTCAGCAGAGTCTGATTGTCGGAGGCCTTCATGCTTTGAGAAAAAACCAATCGGCTTGGTTAGGTTTCGCGGCACACCTGTGAGAAATATTTTCACCAACAATTTGCTAACGTGTCAATCAAAGATTCATTTAGGTTTCCAATGAATTCAAAGAACGTTTCACAACAATAATAAGAATTATGAGACATTAAACTTCAGCTCAGGAGGTTAAGTTTGTTTTCCTGTGATATTCTGACTGTGACTCCTATAAGAGATAAGGTCAGATWATTGTTCAGCTGCAGACAGCTGATAAGCTGGTAACATGTTCAGACTTGTTCTGCTTGTTATAAAACCTTCCTCCCATGAAAGACACAAAATAACATGTTTGTCCAGGAATTCATCATTTTAAGGAAGTTTTTTTCTTCCATAAAATTCTTTAAATTCTGTTGATGATGTAACTGTGAACCCAACAGCTTCTCTGGTTGACTAAAACTCCTGTTTCTGACTTTCGTTTGAAGATTATTTAGAGTTTCTCATGAAACTCTACGTGATCACATGCAAACGTGTTCACATGACAGGTTTTAAAATGAAAAAAATGTGCGATTTTTTTTTATAGTTTGTGGTTTTTGTTGCAAATCTACATGAAAACGTGATATCTGTTTTACATTTGCAAACACTTTGTTTGCAAATTAGTTTAAGAAGCAACACAAAATTGCAACCATGTTTGCACATTTCTCCTTGGAATCCCACAGAATATGATGTTTGCGCATTCTGCTAAAACCCTAACGTTCGCTTCACGGTCCTGCAGTTGATGTGAATTTGTCACAATTTCATCAAAAGAAATGTAAATTTATTATTTGTTTGTGCTTCCATTTACATACTGATGGATTTACCTCAGTTTTGATTCATAGGGCCCTGAACTCTGTAACATCACATGTGGAGTTCCTCAGGGTTCTGTACTTGGTCCAAAGTTGTTTATATTATATGTGAACTACTCGGTAAATGTGTCAGGGCTTTTTAAATGTGTTCTATTTGCAGATGATACTACTTTTTGTTTGGGTGAAAATATAGAACAGATGTTGGAAATGGTGCAAAAATAATTTGTTAAAACACAAACTTGGTTTAAATAAACTATCATTAATTTTGGACAAAACTAATTACATGATATTTAGTAATARAAACATAACTATTGATGTACAGTTTAGCGTTGATGGTGTTTAAATTTGTAGAGTCAGTTAGGTGAAGTTTCTAGGTGTCATTATTGATGAAAAACTGACATGGAGCATTTATATAAATCATTTAAGAACAAAAATAGTTAAATCTATCGCAGTCCTGTATAAAGTTAAAGAGTTATTTAATGATAAAGCACTGCTTATGTATAATGCAATAATTGTTCCACACTTGATTTATTATATTGAAAATAGGGTAAAGCATGTAAAACAACTACAAATCCTATTTTTGATTTACAGAAAAGAGCAGTAAGAATTATCGCTAGAAAACATTACGGTCACCCATCAAATATATTATTTTATCAACTGAAGATATTGACGTTCTATGAGTTGGTTGATTGTGATGGACTTGTGACCTGTCCAGGGTTTTCCCCGCCCCTCACACTGTGGGGGGGGGGCACCAGTGACTCTGAGAAAGGCTCACAAAAACATATTACCTTTAAAGATCCAATTGAATTTTGTTAAGACAGAGAGAGTTGTTATTAACAGGGTAGAGAGGTTTGTGAAATTTAAATTTAGAACCAGTTTGCGGAGAGGCGTACTTCAATCCAAGGAATAAGATTATGGAATAATCTGGAGAGTGATGTGAAAAACACCAGATCATTGTTTATGTTTAAGAGAGTTATCAAAGTTGGTTTGTTAAAGAAATATAAAATAGCGTAATATCTGTATGGATTTTTGCTCGAGAAGGAGTTGTTTTTTGTTTTTTTGTATTTTACTGTTTGAATTGATTTTTGGACAGGGGCAGACAGTACAAAACTTTTCTTCTGCTGCCTTTCTTCAGTGTGCATTGCCAATGCGATGCACACTATTGTGATTCGTTTCCCATCCAAGTCATCTCCACTTTGCCACGCTTCTCCTGCTGCATACTTTGTCCTACAGCTGCCATTGTAATTTAAATCTGTAAAGCTCCTGTGCCGAATAATTGCTATGCCTTTTGGTGCCTGTACAACCTATAGTTTTTGAAATATTAATGTTTAAAATCAAATAATGGGAGTCAATGGAGCCTTGTATTAGTCCAATACTGCCCCATGCTGTATCTACTCAGTACTGCACCATAGTTTAATAATATTTAAACTCAGTAGTTCAGTGTTTACAATACAAACATGATTTTATTTTGATATTTCACTAAAATATTGTCCTAATATTCCTTTATTGTTGTAATATATTGCAGTTCAGTGTCAACAATTGCATTGACAATATGGCCTCTTTCAGCACACATACAAACCTAACACTGGGGGTGACTACTGCAACAGCTCCTGTCTCATGGTGAACACTATGGGCTTTCATGTGGGAGATCGGGGTTTAATCCCAGCCATAAACAAAATATTTCATTAAAACTACATATTTTCTGATTGTCATATTCTCACACATTTACCCTCATTACAAACAACTGCTGACATGGCAGGCACAAGCTGGTACTTGATTAGCAAACACATTTCAACTTGGTCACAGTTCAAGCTGCAGGCAAGGCAATGCACACTTTTTACATTGTAAAAACTCATGTCTAGTTTTATTTGTGATTTGTATTTTTTTAAGTGCATATAGAATTTATTTTGTTTTTCATAGGAGAAATTAATTTATTTATCATTATTTTACCAGGCAAGTCCCGTTGAGATCACAGATCTCTTTTTCAAGGGATGCCTGGGCCTGAAGGCAACCTATTGTATGTTTTGGGGAAAACCGGAGTACCTGGAGAAAACCCACGCAAACACGAGGAGAACATACAAACTCCACACAGAAATATTAAAAATTCATAAACTTTACAAATGAACAAAATTTAATATGACCAATTTTAACAGCAATAAAAAGTAGAATCAGAGGCATTTTATTACTGATACATAATTTAATTAGAAAAGTATCAAAAACAAAACATAACAGGTGAAAGAGGAAGAACACGACAGCATCAGTGCAGGCCTGACACTTTACAGTTTGATCGTTCAGGTTTGGTTGCTCCAACAGGTGAGCAGCTACAGAAAATCAAATAAAACCCTTCAGCTGAAAGAATCAGGCACAATAAAGTCAAACTCTGGAGATCAGGGCRTTCCAGGTGCTGCTCATCACGAACATCAGCTTCACGAAGACAAGACATTATTCTGAATTCCCTTTTAGCAACGCRAGTGGAAATACTAGTTTTAATTCAAGGATTAAATCTTGAAAACATTTGCTCCAGTTTCTTCATCTCCTTTCAGGAAACCATTGAAATTCTCCAAACTAAAACTGTGGTCAGAGCTGAGGAGAATATTTTCAGTTTTAACAGAAAAAAAAAAAAAACGTACCAAAACATTTGTAAACCAACACTTTTACAGAGGCTGTAAAAAGTCAAACTTTACACAAATAAGCAGATCTACATGAAATAATACATTGTTTTAGACAGTTCTGACCCTGCGTTAGGAAGAAAAGCAAGTTATTTGTTGGCGTGTGGGAATACATCCCTGCCTTTAACGAGTAGCAGCAAAAAACCCAAAGTCTACAGCCGGCGTAGGTCCTGAGTGAGCAGCAGCCGTTCGACACGTGGAGAGGACAGCAGGTCAGCACTTTAATAAATACTCTACATTTTCAGACACGAAACACAAATGTTTTTCTTTTACACAGTAAATGCAGCTAAAATACTCATTCAGGTCAGCCGGTTTGGATGTTATCAGTCCATTAAATGGACGTTATTAGCGGTTATCAGTCCCATAGAATGGCTTCAGACTGTGCCGACAGTGCCCCCTAGTGGTTACCAGTGCCATATACATTGGAATGCAACAATCTGCTGCCGGAGTCTGGTCTACTTTATCGTAGCCCGTGTCATTTTCTCTAAAATTAACCTTAACCAGTTTTATGCCTCATTAACCAGCTGACAGTCTGAAGCCATTCTATGGGACTGATAACCTGCTAGGGGGCATAGTTGGGACAGTCTGAAGCCATTCTATGGGACTGATAACGGTTAATAACGTCCATTTAATGGATGATAACATCTGAAGCGGGTGTTCAGATCACACACACAAAAATCACACTTTGTGGCATAACAACAAATATTCAAATCAAACTGGTTTTGTTTGGTTTCAGTGCTTTAGCTTTTCTTGGCCCGGGACTGTTTGTAATGTTTCTGACGCAAACAGAAAACAGGTGCGGTTCGGGATTTCGGAGCTTCCGGGACRACACTCTGGACCAAAGTTTTTTAGCAGCTTTGTGGACCGTGGCGTCTCCGGAGGACAAAGTCTGAGGAGGTGGGTCATAGGGGAGCCGAGCAGTGGATGTCGTCGAGGGTGAGGAGTCCCAGCGGGGCCACTGTGGAGGTAGATGATGATGAAGAGGAGGAGGAGGAGGAGGTGAGGGAGTGGAGCTGCAAGGAGCTCTCCTTGATGTGCTGGATGAAGAGCTTCCGCTCGTCCTCGGGGGTCTGGCCGTTCTGGGCTCGGACGATGCAGGTGGGCCGGTGCAGGTTCAGCATGTAGACCAGCTGCTGCTTCTGCTGCTTCAGCTCCTCGATCTGAGCCTTCAGGTCTGCGTTCACGCTCTCCAGCTTCTCCGACTCCTGGAGACACGAGGTCAAAGGTCAACAAGTCAGTTTTACTTCAGTTTATTCATTTAAAACAAAAAAATTATACACATTAAAAAACAAAAAAATATACAAATCAAATTGAAATGAAAGGAGGCAGAAAGAAGAAAAAAATCTTATATCTGCCCCTTTTTTCCATAATTAAATTTAAGCAATAATAATCAAGAACACAAACAAAACTAGATATGGGTTTTTACGATGTAAAAACAAGTGTGCATTGCCTTGTAGCATGTTATTACAGCATGGCTTTGCCTGCAGCATTGGACTTGCAGAATGAACTGTGACCAAGTTTAAATGTGTTTTCTACACCAGCTTGTGCTTGTCAAGTCAGCAGGTGTTTGTAATGAGGGTAATTGTGTGAACATRTGAAGTTTGTAGAGATTTTCTGTTAAAGTTGTTGTTGCTGGGTTTCAAACCCTGATCTCCCACATGAAAGCCCATGGCACTAACCATGAGACCATTGGTGCTGTGGCAGAGAACCCTGCCAGGGGTTGGTTTGTATGTGTGCAGAAAGAAGCCACATCGCCAATGTAATAGTTGTCACCAATTTGAAATATATTACAACAATAAAGCAATATAAGGACAATATTATAGTAAAACATCAAAATACAATCATATTAGTATTGTAAACACTGAACTATTGAGATTAAACATTACTGCATTACTGGGTAGATACAGCAGGGGCAGTATTTGACCAATACAAGGCTCCATTGACTCCCATTATATGATTTTAAACATTAATATTTCAAAAACTATAAGTTGTACAGGCACCAAAAGGCATAGCCATCATTTGGCACAGGAGCTTTACAAATATAAATTTCAATGGCAGCTCTAGGACAAAGTATGCAGGAGGAGAAGTGTGCCAAAATGGAGATGACTTGGATGAGAAACGAATCACAATAGTGTGCATTGCATTGGCAATGAACACTGATAAATAAATAAAAAACATTAAATTTCATTCTCAAACAACAACTTAGATATACATTGTACAGTTTCATATTTCTTTAACAAACTTATATTTATCTTTCTCTTAAAAACACATTGAACTGGCATTTTTATAATCACTTTCCAGATTATTCCACAATCTTATTCCTTAAACCGAAGTACATCGATCCTTCAAGTTTGTTCGAATTCTGGGTTTCACAAAAATCTTAAGTCCTTTAAGATAAGAACTTACAACTTAACAAAATATAACTGGATGTTTAAAAGGTCACATTTTTTTAATGAGCCTTATAATCTGCAAAATATTAAAAATCAACCAACTCATAAAATTTTAATAATTTTAATTTACAAAATAATATATTTGAAGGGTGACTGTAATGTTTTCTGGTGATAATTCTGACGTCTCTTTTCTGTAAAATAAAAATAGGATTTGTGATTGTTTTACGTGCTTTACCCCAGACTTCAACACAGTAAATCAAGTGAGGAACAATTGTTGTATTATATAATATAAAACAGAGCTTTATCATTGGATAACTCCCTTACTTTATACAGTACTGCAACAGATTTAGCTATTTTTGTTCTTAAGTAATTCACATTTTCTCTCCATGTCAATGATAATGCCCAAAAACTTTATCTCACTGACTCTACTAATCTCAACACCATCAACTTTAAATGGAAAATCAATAATTTTCTTTCTATTACTGAAAATCACGTATTTAGTTTTATCCAAGTTTGACGACAATTTGTTGTTTGAACCATGTTTGTATTTTTACAAATTCTGTTTGTATCCTTTCCAACATCCGTTCAATATCCCTACCCAAACAAAAAAAAAAAATGTAGTGTCATCAGCAAACAGAACACACTTTAACAACTCTCATACAAAATAAACAGCTTTGGTCCAAGTACAGAACCATGAGGAACTCCACATGTGATGTTACCGAGTTCAGATCTTATGAAGATGTGGCGCCTGTTTTATCTTAATAAAAATGATTTGATTTAAACAATTTATTTACCATCTGCAGGGACTCGGTCTTCTCCTTCTTCTTGTTGCGGCACTTCGCAGCTGCGATTTTATTTCTCTCTCTTCTCCTCTTTTTCCTCTCGTGCTCCTCTGGTGTCAACTTTAAAATTAAAAAAATAAAAGTGTCAACACAAACCCAGCTAACAGATTCTAAATACACACCGTCCCGAGTCCACCTCACCTCTCTTTTGAGCCCGGCCCGGCTCAAGGGTCTCTCGTAGGCCCGGTCCGAGCTGGAGCTGGCCCCGTCGGAGCTGACGTCGGCGCTGAGCCCGTTGGACAGGCGCTTGGTTTGGATGGCCAGACGCAGCTCCTCCTTCACGATGGGYGTGAAGCTGGCGAAGTCGTCCAGGGTGAGCGAGCCCGGCGGGGACAGGCAGGGCACCAGGGCCGAGCAGCTGATGTCGGCCAGAGACGGACCTGGATGTTGCAGCATCATTCTGGGGAAGAAAAAAAAACCCGCTGACTCGTCAATTCATGCTCAGCAAAACATGTGAGGTCTCTATAAGTGTAATTAAAATGACAGAAATAAGCTTTATTATCACAACTATAGATTATCTGTCAGGAAGTGATGTTAGAAAAGTTTGATCAGTTTCTGCTGAGTAATAATGACTCCAGGTTAAAGTGATGAGAAACAAACAGAACTAAATGTCAGCTTATGTAAGATATTATTTCTGTTCCAAGAATCAAACAAAGACTAAATACCTGAAGTCAAGGAAGTGATAAAAAACAATAAAAGGAGCTGTTTGTTGTGCAAACAGGTGGAGATTAACGACTGACAGCTCCATGGAAAATCATCATCATAATAA